TATCACATATTACTTAAATGTGGAATTGAAAAATATTGCACAAATGTAGTTATTTACAAAACAGAAAGAGACTCACAGACATAAAAAACAACCTTACAGTTACCAAAGGGGGAAAGGGGTGGGAAGGATAAATTAGGAGTTTGGGATTAGCAGATACAAACTACTATATACAAAATAGATAAATTAGGTCCTACTGTATAGCACAGGGAACTATATTCAGTATCTTGTAATAACCTATAATGAAAAATAACATATGTATAACTAAATCACTATGCTGTACACCTGGAAGTAACACAACGTTGTAAATCAACTGTTATTTCTATTAAAGAATAAAAACGAAAACAAAAAAAGGGGAGCATGGCTCTGTTGGCACCCTGACTTCAGATTTCTGGTCTCCAGAACTGTGAGAAAATAAATTTCTGTTATTTTGAGCCACCAAATGGTAATTTGTTCTGGTAGCCCTAGGAAACGAATACATGCACCTAGGATCATAAAGATTTTCTCCTGTTGGCTTCTGAAAACTTCAGTTTCACTTATACATTTTAATCTTATAATCCATTTTGAGTTTATTTTTATGTATGGTTTGAGATAAGGGTTAAGGTTAATTTTTCCCATATGGATATCCACTTTCTAGCACTATTTTTAGAGAAGACTATCCTTTCACCCATTGAATTACCTTGCACTTTTGTTGAAAATCAATTGGCCATAAGTGGGTGGATCTGCTTCTATATTCTCTTCTGTTCCATTGATTTATAGGACTGTCCTTATGCTAATACTCACTTTATTTCTGTACTTTTTATAGCAAGTCTTAAAATCAAGTAGTGTAAGTTCACCAACTCTGTTGTTCTTAAAAATTATTTTGGCTCTGCCAAAATTTACATTCCCCTATAAATTGTAGAATCAGCTTGCCAATTTCCACAAAAAACTTGCTGAGTCTTACAGTCCATTGTATGTCTTCATTAATTTAGACTTTAATTTCCTTCTACAATGTTTTAAATTTTCAGAATGCTTGCATGTGCTTTCTCAAATTTATCCCTAAGCGTCTCATATTTTTGATGCTGTGACATGCTATTTCATTTTCCAGTTATTTATCATTGGTATATAGAAAGTTTTTAAAAAATTAACCTTTAACCTGGCCAAATTCACTGGTTACTTTTAGTAGCTTTTATTGCACACTTTCAAAGCACATGATCATGTCACACGCATGATTAAAGACTTTTCTTTCCAATCTACCTGCCTTTTATTTCTTGTTAATGCCTTACTGCACTGGCTAGGACCTCTAATAAAATGTTGAGGAGCATTGGAGGGTGAACATCCTTGTATTGGTCCTGATTTTAGGGGGTAAGTGGCCACTCCTTCATCAGCATGAGGTTAGATGTAGGTTTTTCATGGATGCTTTTTATCTGGTTGGGAAATTCCCTTCTGTTGTTTTGTTTCTGTGAGTTTTTTTTTAAATCACGTTGGATTTTGTTAAATGTTTTTTCTACATCTGTTCAGATGATCATATAGTTTTTCTCTTTTATTCCATTAACCTGATGAATTACATTGATTTTCTAATGTTAAACCAAGCTTGCATTAGCTGTGATGTATTAGGATATATTATTCTTTTTATATATTAATGGACTTAATTTCATATATTTTTGTTAAGGATTTTTGCCTCTATGTTCTTGAGGGATGTTGTTTTATAATTTTTTTTGAAATGTCTTTGGTTTAGTTATAAGGGTAATTCTGGTCTTGTACAATGAGCTGGAAAGTGTTTCTTCTGTTCTCCTTAAATTTGGTATCTCTTCCCTAAGTGTCTGGTAGAATTCATCAATGAAGACATCGGAACCTAGCCTACCATTTTCTTTGTGGAAAGGTTTTTAAATATAAAATCAGTCTCTTTAATAGGGATTTTTAGGGATCTTTTTGAATGAGTTTCCGTAGTCAGTGTCTTTCCAGAAATTTTTGTTTAATCACAGTTGTCTCATTTATTGGAATAAAATTATTCATAATAGTCCCCTATTATCTTTTTAAGATTTGTAGGATCTGTAGTGAGGTCTTCTCATTCCTAATTTTGGTAAGTTCTTTCTCAGTTTGGTTGGAGGTTTACAATTTGATTGTTTTTTTTTTTCTTTTCCCAAAGAACCAACTTTTGGTTCATTATTTTTGTTTTAAAATTTTCATTGTTTTCTGCTCTTTATTATACACTTCTTTTAGCATACTTTGGGTTTAATACACTCTTCTTTTTCTTAAGGTGGAAACTTAGGTCACTGAATCAAGACAATCTTTTCCAATATAAGTAAATATAAGAACATCAGAACACAATGAAAAAGCAATTAATGTAGTATAAATTAAAACTGAATTTTGCTTTTGCTTTTTTTTAATATATATATTGCATGGTTGCTTTTCAAAGTTTTTTCTACTATAGCTTTTATAAATTCTGATAATATAATACATGCTGTGAAAGAAATGTTAACGGATGTACAGTAAATTAAGGAATTGTGTATGTCATGATAGACCATAACATATAATCACAGAATCATTGCAGCTTGATACAGCAAACTTTTATTTCTTGCTTACACTGTACATCCATTCTGAGTCATCAGGGGCGTTGCTCCACTGCTCCACAGTCACTCAAGGGCCTAGGTTGACAAGAGATTCCACTACCTTGAACTGTACCTTCTGGATGGAGCACATGGCCTCTACGTTCCCTGTGGCAGGGGAAGAGAACACTGAAGGGACTCTCATCTGTAATTAAATGCTTTGTCCTCATAGCCCTTCAGCCAAAAATAGCCACATGGGCCTACCTCATTGTAAAGTTCAAAGAACTAAAATCTTCCATTGGGCCTAGAAGCAGAGGAGGAGTAGCTGTGAGTGAGCATAATTCTGTACCTCAGGAAAAAAATTAAAAATCACCTACTTTTAGATAATTGCTACGTCTGTCTTCCTGCCTGGCCCCACTGACCTCTATGGCCAACCTTACATTTGGGTTGGTGGAAACTGTCCCTATGGTCTGACCAATCATTGATTCTTATTTTGTTGTATTCTATCCTTGCAACTGTTACTGATTTTATTAGTATATAAGGGAGACCTGGGAAAGGGCAGATCAAGAATCCCTTGCTAGTTCTTAACAACATTGAATTAAAAAAAAATGTTTTTAAACCTTGTTTTAGAATATCTGAAAAATCTCTAAGATCTGGTAACAGTGGTTTTATCTATGGAAGGAAACTGGACTTGGATAGTGATGAGTAGGGGTGAGGGGTGTTGAAAGAGTGGGTAGGTAAATAATTTTCACTGTATATACTTCTGTAACTTGAATTTATACAATATAAATTATATTACCTATTTTAAAATTAAAAACCTGTTTTATATATTTTAATTTCCTATATTGAATCAATTATACTTTGTAAATGAACAAAACATGTTTCTTTAAAGGCTGTCAGAGTTGAATGACATTTTTTTCCACTGAATTTTGACCTACCATGAAGCAAGGATCACATTTTGAAATTTTTATTTATATTTACATTTTGGAGGAATAAAATCATTTACCCAAATAGATCAGTTACTTAGTTATGATCCTTTGAGTACCAGCAATCACTCTTATTTGGAAAGCTCTTCCACATATGTATTTATTGGGTCCCTTTCTACATTTCCAGTAGTGAGTTGAGCCATAATTGTGACCTACTGAAGACAATAAGCTTTGAGATCAGACCTGAGGTTGAACTTCGGCTTCGGCACTTACCAGTCCATGCATCCTAAGGAAATGTGCTTGTTAACCCCCGAGCATTTCCTCATGGGGAAAAGTCCTATATACCTTTCATGATTGCTGTAAGGATTAGGTAAAAGGTATGTAAAACCCCTGGACAAGGCTTGGTACATTATTTCTCCCATAGGCTCTCTCTGCTCTTAAGGCTCAGGAAATCCATCTGCAGTGCTAATCTCATGTTCTGTGTTAACAGTGGACCAGAATGGTAACTGTGTTCATCCCCTCTTCCCATTGTTTACTGCAGATGGTTTTGTTAAACTTTTCTGAGATTACGTAACACAACTATATGATTGTAATAATGCTATGAAGTTACTTACCTTTTTTCACTCTTAAACTGTCATGAATGTACAGCAGGTTTTCCAAAAACTACATGATGTGTGATATCGCCACTGATTTTATGGAGAATTCATCTGCTTTTGTGCCAGACACTAAAGCCACTTGTGAAATGTGAAATAGTGCCACTCTGCTCATTTAGTTTTTTGTTTGGAGAAAATAAAGCAGTTTTTCACTTTAAAAAATGTTACTTATGTTAACATGCAACAAGTGTCAAAAAGTCCTGAAATGAAACAGTTTGAGAACTACCAGTTTAGACTCGGACCCTGTGGGTGGCAGTGTAAGCAGGATTTCTGTAAACAGATGCCATGGAATCTGCACCCGTATCTCAGGGTCTTTGGTGCTTTTCAAGCTATGTATCCCCTTTCTTCCTTTTGCTGGAAAAAAGAATATAAGCAGTTAGTTACTGGCTCTAATCCCACAGAAAATTACGGTTTTCCTAAGCAGAGATCGAGAGACAGTTACACTGAACTCAGGTCATTTAGATGGCTATTCATGATGGTGGTGTTTGTTTTCTGTCACACAGAGCTTATTCCCATGGCATTCTGGTATGCCAGGAACCAAGAATAAAATGATCAAAGGCTGTAAAGCTGACATAAAATAGAAGCTCGTCAGACAAGAAAGTCCTACTGGGGAAGGCAGAGTAAGTAAGTATGGTGTGTTGTTAAGGATCAACTGGGTTATAAATGGAAAAGCAGAGAATGGGTCAGTGGAAAGAAATTATGGTTTGTTTCCTTCAGGCCCTGCTAATACTTCTAAACTGGCAAGATCACAGAGTAAGCTGCCTTGAAAAGGACTTCCACATTAACTTAAGTTGTATATGGCACATATGATTTAATTCGTAAGTAGTTTAAAACATCACGCAGGAAAAGGATCATAGCTTAATAAATCTCTGAATCACCGTAGTTAAAGTGAACATTTTTCAAGGGACTATTTGGCCTATCAAAGGATTTCTGTCTCGTCCTGGGAGGCCTTTTAAAAAAATGAAATAGTGGAATTTTGAATACTTTTAGTGGTTTATGGGGGAAGTGGAGTATGAGATTGGTATCATCTAAGAAAGTTTTGATTGGCTTCCATAATCATGGCGTTCAGGAACCATCGTAAAACAACCAGAACCTCATTTTCCGACATACTTCCTTTTGACTGCTTTTTATTGCCTCAATTTGCATATCTTCCTTGGGCCTTATTTTTCTCATCTCTTAAGTTTTTCCCAGCTTTACAATTCTCTTACGTATTACATTTCTTCTTTCTTCCAACCTTCTGAGGAGGTTCTGAAGAGGTTCGAGGTGGCTGTGGCTGATCGTCCTCCCCCTTCTCTCCTGACCTTCCCTAGTCCCTGGGAGACACTCAGGGTTACTTCCCTCCTTCAGGGGCTAGCCTGCCGTCCTGGTACCTTCCAGTCGGCTCCCCCTGGAGTCAATGGTGAAATGGAAATTTGGGACACATCCCTTGGATGTCATCTACTTAAACACAATTCCATAGCTTTACTTAATTTTGGATAGGAGTTACAAAGGATAAAATAATTTTATACTGATAATTCTTAATTTCTTTCATTCTAGACATGATTTTTTAAAATAGGTCTTTATATAAATATCAACTCTTCCCTACCCTCATTCTAAACCAACATTTTTCTATTTAAAACTAAGTCTGTTTTTAACTTGGCACAAGGGAGGAGTTAACATGGTCTTACCATTCCTTCTGGAATAGAACTTTTTTGGCGACAGGATAAAATATACAGTATATTGAATATAGGGGAAAAAACTGAGTGTACAAAAATAACTTGTTTCACTTGTTCTTTTATACCTATAGTTATGAAAATAGGTATGATTTTTTTATGGACTGTCTTTACATATACACGTGTGTGAAAACAGATACATTATTTGTGTACCTTAATAATCTGAGCTAATGACATGGTAGATTTATGGCCATGTATGTTAAAGAAAAAATGGAAATAGCCCTTGTTAAAGAACAGTCAGGCAGACGTCATTAAGAACCACTGCAATAGGTGTGGGGACTGCAGCAATGGGACTCTGCAGTTGGGGTGGGAGGTATGGAGATTGGACTCAACTCCAAATACAACAAGGAAAAGTGGGAATTTATAGCCGAAGAAGGTGGAGTGGTGGGGGGGAGTGGTCAGTGAATTAACAATCACCAAGGAAACACCAGGGTAAGGGGAATTCTAGTTAAACTTACCTGCCAGAATTCCTGCTCAAGGCAGATGAAGGTGATTGGACCCAGAAGATGGTGGGGATGAGAAACCTGATCAGATATCGAGGGTGAGAGATTCTAACTAAACCAACTTAGCAATATTCTTACTAAAACTGGAGAATGAAAAGACAAACACAGAAGCCCGAAGTCAGGGCTAGTTGAAGAAGTGTTGAATTCTCTTCTCAACCAGGAGAGACTCTCTTTTAAGTTAGGGTTCATTTTGTCAAAAGAACTAGTAGCCCTCTCCCACAACAACTCTTGTCTTTATCCTCAGATAGTATCCTCAATGCTTCCTTGAAATTAATCATCCGTTATCTGCTTTTAGGCAAATTCAGTTTTTTACTTTTCAGACTTGATTCTTATTTTTTTCCTTAGAGTTTGAGAAATTCAGAAAGATCTATAATACTGCCATATTAATAACCTGATGTATATACCTTTTGAATCTTTTTCTATACATGTATAATGTCTTAAAATAATGTTTCTGCTTAAGTTTTTAACCTACATTTTACTTAACATACTGTAAAAATTTACCACAGTATTTTTTTTTAACATTTAACAAATTCACAAAGTATAACAACATTTAACAAGTATACAAAAGGTAGAGTGAAAACTAAGTCTTTTAATAGCTGCATAATAGTGTATCATAAGGATGTACTGTCTTTTTTTTAAATGGAGGTACCTGGGAGGCTAAGCATTCCCTCTACCACTGAGCCCCACCCCCACCCCGTGTGTCATTTTTAACCCATCTCTACATTCATGGGTAGTTTTGTTGTTTGGGTTTTGTTTTGCTGTTACAAACACTGAAGAGTCTTGCAGAAACAACTTTGGGTCAACTGTGTTTTGTTTTTTTTAAGGGTAATTTCTTGAATTTCCTTCCTTTTCCCATCCTTTCCTGATTTTTCTGACCTTTCTCTTTTTTTCCTGCTTCAAATGCATTTATAAATCAAGCTCAGCTCCTGTTCCTTTGCCCTTACCGAGCGAGCGTTTCTTAATGCTCTCAGGTGTCCCTGCTCCTTCCTGCTGTTCTTTTGTCTCTCCAGGTGCCATACCTGAAAGATCTGATCAAGAAGGTTAATCTTTCTCTCTTTCCCTTATCAATATTCTCATTATTTTCAGCTGAACCATCTGTTGTTTATCTTTGAGCTTCAGAGATTTGATCTGAATGTTAATCCTGCGGTCAAAAACCTTTGTAAATTGCTAAAGGGGCTTCATAAGCATTATCTGAATTTCACTGACAAAAAGACAAAAATGGGTAATGTTATCTGGAGTCAGAGTGAGTCAACAATTACTATCAAGCTACTATTTGAAGCCTGTATTTTTGACTCTGGTAGATAAAGTGTTTTTCTACTTTTTAAAAAAATAAGTTATTAAAACCTATACTTATGTAGAAGTTATTAATTTATATCTAACGGTTATAGATCTGAGAGTTCTGGACCACCTGGGTCTCAAAGAATGACCAAAGTAAACACAGTACTTCTTTTTGATCATTGTAAGTACTATGAGAAATATAAGTTACTATTTAATTATTTGGGGAAATGATTGGATTAAATTAGATTTTCGAGACTAAAGGTGCTTGCTTTGTAAAGTTTTAAAATAGTGATAGCATCAAGGTAACATCAAGATTTTCTTTTTACTTTTCTTTGCAGGGATGGAAAATAAGGCGAAGCATTGTTTTATTATAGCAGCAGGCCTTTGAAATTTAACTAAAAAAAAAAATGACTGCTCTTACCTCAGAGAACTGCTCTTTTCAGTACCAGCTACATCAAACAAATCATCTCCTTGATGGTAACTGTCTTTTACTCGTGATTATACTTGGGAAAATATTATTAAATATCCTCACACTAGGAATGAGAAGAAAAAACACCCATCAAAATTTTATGGACTATTTTTGCATTTCACTAGCATTCATTGATCTTTTACTTTTGGTAAACATCTCCATTATATCTTATTTCAGGGATTTTGTGCTTTTAGGTGTTAGGTTTACTAAATACCACATCTGCCTATTTACTCAAATTATTTCTTTTACTTATGGCTTTCTGCATTATCCAGTTTTCCTGACAGCTTCTATAGATTATTACCTGAATTTCTCTAAAACCACCAAGCTTCCCTTTAAGTGTCAAAAATTATTTTATTTCTTTACAGTTATTTTAATTTGGGTTTCAGTCTTTGCTTATGTTTTAGGAGATCCAGCTATCTACCAAAGCCTGAAGGTACAGAATGCTTATTCTTATCAATGTCCTTTCTACATTAGCATTCAGAGTTACTGGCTGTCATTTTCCATGGTGATAATTTTATTTATGGCTTTTATAACCTCTTGGTCAGAAGTTACTACCTTGGTACAGGCTATTAGGATAACTTCCTATATGAATGAGACTATCCTATATTTTCCCTTTTCATCCCACCCGAGTTATACTATAAGCTCTAAAAAAACACTCTTGCCTAAGTTCATTATCTGTTTTCTTGGTACCTGGTTACCATTTGTACTACTACAGGTAATTATCCTTTTATTTAAAGTACAGATTCCAGCATACATAGAGATGAACATTCCGTGGTTGTACTTTGTCAATAGTTTCCTCCTTGCTACAGTTTATTGGTTTAATTGTCACAAACTTAATTTTAGAGACATGGCATTGCCTGTAGATCCATTTGTCAACTGGAAATGCTGCTTCATTCCACTTACAATTCATAATCTTGAGCAAATTGAAAAGCCTATATCAATAACTGTTGATATGGTGCCATGTTAATACTAAAACTTAACAGCTATAAGAAGCAGAATTTTACAAATGGTAAAGAATGATGACTTGGGACATACAAAGAATGAACTAAACTTAAGCTTCCCTACTCCGCCTTACCCCCAAACTTTCATACGTTTTCACAGTGTGTCATTTGGGGGCTATGATATTTATTAGGTTGGTTGGTTGGTTTTAAACAAAACACTTCCAACAAAAAAATTTTATACCTGTTGGCCATACTGATGTTTGTGTTATCCAAAAAACTGTTATGTAAATCTGAGATTCACTGTCAACATTTCAGATACGAGCTTAAACATTTTTATTAAACTCAGGGCAAGAAAGTCAGGATCGTATTCTTTAACATTAGGGGAAAGATTAGTTCTATTTAAATTTAGCTAATTAAAAAATATATATTTCTGTTCTTAATGCAAATATTCCAAAAGAAAAGTTTTGTTGCTTACCTTTCAGTAGTGACTAGGTCTCTTCCATGACATACCAAATTCATTTCCAGTTGTAACACACCTGGCACATATTTACATAATCACACAGGCAACGTATCACAGTGTGAACGTACAGTTTCTTATCCTGAGCACTACTGACATTTAGGTTGGATAATACTTTGCTGTGGGGGCTGCTGCCCTGTGTGTTGTAGCATGTTGAGCAGCATCTCTGCCCTCTGGCCACTAGATGCCAGTAGA